TAACTTGTATGCACTCCAACTGTTTTGATGAAATGCATAAACTAATTACCACTTATATTCCATATGAATAATATTTTTTCGACCTGAATCAGTATATGATTATTAAAAAAACAAATATGCAAGTCTGTATGTTATTCATATGTGAATAACGTATAAAAATTATATATTTTGTAAAACACATTGTAATATTCATATGTGAATATACTGTGTAATATTCATAAGTGAATATATCATATTATATTCACAAGTGAATATACTATGTAAAATTCACATGTGATATACCATGTAATACTATGTAATATTCACATATGAAAATATCATATAATCATAAGTGAATATACCATCTAATTTCACAAGTGAATATACTATGTAATATTCACAATTGAATGCATCGTCTAATATTTAATATGAATAGACTATGGTTTATTATATGTTATATTAAATAATGAATATATTTAAATTATAAAAAATTAATCATATTTTTTATTCATAAGTGATAATGTTTTTTTTTCGAAAAAAAAAACATTGTTTTGAGGTCCTAAAAGCAAGTTTGTAATTCATATGTGAATAACATATAAGAATTATACCTGCATGTGAACATATGTAATATTCACAAATGAATATATATGTAATAATCAAAGGTGAATATATATGTATTATTCACAAATGAATAAAACTGTCAATAAACCGATGACTACAAAATATATAATATTAAAGATAAAAAAAGTATTTGATAGAATATATATTTATTCACATACAACTAATCTTTTTAGGTAATAAAAATTATATAAGCATATATATTTTTTATTAATGTTATATTCATTTGTGAATAAATGATAACTTTTTTTTTCGGAAAATTATAAAAATAGAAAAACGTCATTTTGAGGCCCTAAACAGTCCCGAATGGCCGAAAAACACCGTACGTCACGGCGAAGCTGTGAGTTTTGTAAATCGCACCATTTTAACATCAAATATGCGAATTTCGTCCAATTCCGAGACTAAACTTCATGCGGCAAATTGTTTTGATGATGTCACAAATTTTCATACCTACTAGTGATGACATCATCATGACATGCTATTATTCATATATGAATAAAGTTTAGAAATCATTAGACATATTTACTGATGATGGTTACTAACTTCAATCACACTAGTAAAAACATCATTGTAATCTGTTATTTTTATTTAGTGAATAAAATATACATGTTGATTTATTTATTTTGTGAATACAACCTTTATATAAAAATAAATAATACACTATAAGAATTGGTTTGTGAATAGTTTTTTTGTATATTGTAACAATATTATTTTACATGTAAAATCACATTATACTAAGACAACAACATTGTATGGGTTAATGAATATCATTTGCATTTGAATTTAACACGATCAAAATGAAGAATAGATTAGATTGTATAACATTTACACGTGAATATAAAAACATATTGTTTTCGTCAATGATATCTTCTCAATACGTCAACCAATCGTCAACCACAGGATATGAAAAAACAAATGTTATCTTTTATTGAGTTATAACGATGCTTGAAAAACATATGAATACACATAAAAAATGTTAAAAATATACTTTTAGTTCATAATAATAGCGATTTATCACATTCTAATTATCATATGGTATATTCACACATGAATACAATCATATGTGAATATTATATGATATATGTTGTTTATATTGTATATTTACATGTGATATTACATGGTATATTCACAAATGAATATTACATAGTATATTCACATATGAATATTATATGGTAGATTCAAATGTGAATAGTAAATATGGTATATTTACTTGTGAATATTACACATTCTAGTCACATCTAAATATTGCATGGTATATTCATTCATGAATATTACTACAGTATATTCATATGATAATATATAGGATATACACTTGTGAATATGATACAATATATTCATAGCTAAATATTAAATGATGCATTCACTTGTGAATATTACATAATATTTTCACTTGTAAGTATTAGATGATATTTCACTTATGAATATTAGATGGTAATATCATATGTGAATACTACACAGTTTATTCACATATGAATATTACACAAGATATTAACATATGAATATTACAAGGTATTCACAAATATATATAATTTTTTATATGTTATTCACATATGAATAACATATAAAATTGTATATTTGTTTTGTGTTTTAATAATCATATACTGATTAAGGTGCGAAAACATATTCATATGTGAATATAACGTGGTAATTTAGTTTATGCATTTCATCAAACAGTTGGAGTGCATACAAGTAACTTTTTTTAAAAATGCTAAAAACATGATACTTTGACTACTTAAAACTTACAAAATACTAGATTGATAGAGAATTATATGAAATTTTTCAAAAAAAAAAAATGATTTGACGTTTTTCTAACCTTAATTTAGAAGTTTTGTTTGATGATCGATGTTGAATGAATGATATGAAGTGAAATTGTTGTTGATTATCGATGATGTTGATCTAATGACACTGGGAGTATAATTAATCGTAAATGCTGAAGATATGCTCGAATTCAAGCATAATTGAAGGTTGGATTGAAAGAACCAAAAACGATTTTTTTTGTCTAATATTGAATGATGTTGATGAACGTGTTTTTGACGAAGATGGATGATTGATTAACACTGGATGATGTTGATCGATGATTTAATTGAAGAAATCTAGATGATCGTTGAAGGTTGAAGAAGAAATTTGGATGATGAACGATCGAGTAGTAATGAATTTGAATTGTTATCAAATTATCCACAATTATGTATCTGTGATTGAATGATATCAATATCATATTACAATTTTGCACCTTGTATTTTATGTTAAGAGGCTAAGTAATGATTGGCTGAGAATGATTCCCCCATTCTCAACCTTTTTTTTTTCTCAATTGAACCTCCTCTATTAATATATATATATTATATAATATATATATTATATATATAATATATATATATATATATATATATATATATATATATATATATATATATAATATATATATATATATCATGGTAAATCTTAACGACATAATGTACACATTTCTTTTAGTTTCTTGACACATAATGATTTCCTCGACAAGGTTGTTCACGTTCAAGGTCGATGGACCATTGGGAGCGGTTGCCAGAAGAGCCTTTTCCTTCCACTCCATGGCTTTATTCCTCATCATGTGACCTCTGTCTCCCATCAACTCCTGTACAAGCTTACTAACTTCATCCCTTTTCACATCTTTCGCCCATCTCCATCCCAACCTCCCATACCTTGCATATATACCTACAATTAGTCAGTTGGTCCCACAAATAAGGCCAACATATCATTGGTACACCAGCGGACAAGCTCTCGATGGTGGAACCCCAACCACCATGAGTCAAGAACCCTCCAACCGAAGGGTGGTCCAGCACCTTTTCCTGTGGACACCAGCTTGCTATAAAACCTCTCTTTTTAATAACCTCCTCAAACTCAGGAGGCAAAACTGCGGATTCTCCAACAACCAAATCCGATCTAATTATCCAAAGGAAATAATGGTTGCTATTAGCAAGTCCCCACCCAAATTCCATAAGATCTTGTAAAGACATTACTGTTGAACTCCCGTAGTTCACATAAATCACAGAGTTTAATTCCTTGGATTCGAGCCATTGCAAACACTCTGGTTCTTCTTTCCATAAGCTGTATCCATTGAAATTCGACAGTTTAGCTTGTCTTTCCTTTGCCGGAATCTGATTAAGAAGTAACTGAACTGGACCAACCGTGTAAACATGAGGAATCATGGACGAAAGAGCATCGACAAGACTAGTCTCCAATGTGTCAAACGTGTGAATAATATTGTATGAGACTTTGTGGGCATTTTGTGTAGCTTCCATAGAAAACGTAAACAGTTTGTCTGTAGGGTCTGTTGTCCGGATATTGGTCGGTAAATGCTTAAGCTGGATTTTTTTCATTCCCGGGGATCCAATTAACAACGGTTTCTAAAAATCCATTTGTCAGGTAACTTTCATCTGTTTGCATGAATGACAGCTGTTATTACATGTTTTACATATACATGAGAAGGCCCATATATATCTCAAACACACATAGAAAAACAAACCTTTAAGTGGTGTAAGTCCTTTCTCCATGAGAGATTTGGTCTGGTAAAAACCCATGAAGCCACAAGCTGCAAGCGTCCAGTAGAGCATGACCGGGATTCCCAACTTTTGTGCAGCATCAATGGTGAAAACCGACATGAAGCCATCGGAGATGATAAGAGTTGGAGGAGTTGAGAGTTTGGTTGCAAGATCAAGAAAAGGAGTCAGGAAGTGGGTTTCAACACAATGAAGGAGATGTTCTACACCATCGTCATCTTCAGAACTGCGAGGAATGCTATCAGGAATGGTTTGCAAATTGGAAACCATTTGATCCATCGAGGCTGTGGACACCACCAGACTTGAGCAAACGCTTGTGGATGAACTCTGTGTTAATGAAGGTTATTTGGAGTCCCTTGTGGTGAAGAAGCTGCGCTAGTTTGAGCATCGCCTTAACGTGGCTTTGTGCTGGTAGTGGGATAAAGATGACATGAGGCTTCTTCTCAGCTTTGGCCACTGTCTCCATTCTTCAATTCTGTGTCTGTTTTCAAAGTGATTGTGGTGTGTATGTATGGGCTTGTTAGTAGACAGCTAAAAATAGATCTACAAACAAATAACTAATACGATTGATATATTGATTGATGCTGACTGTCTCTCGTCTTTATATATTTAGGATGTAATGTTTGAGTTGTAGTTGCCAATTTGCCATGCCGGCTTTCTATTATAAATTGGCTATGATGACGAAGAAGAAACTAACATTTGATCTATGATCGCAAAAGCCAAAAGGTCGTTTTTGATGATGAAACATAAAATCTCGAAGATAGTTAAGTTTCAATTACTGGTGCGGTCCAAGTTTGGCCAGATATATATTCCAACTTCGATAAATTTCCAAGAATGATATAAAAAACTGAATTATTGTGTTTTACCCTAGAGTTTTTTATGTCACTGTTGGTACTACAAAAAAATGAAATGAAACGTGGTTAAATGGGCAATATACAAGAAAACTATATTTTAGTTGTTATTGCCGTGGTAAACTATAAATTGGAAATATTTTCTAAACCACACAAGTTTGACTATTTGAATATTTGACTATATATTTCTATGCCGATTATTTGAGTAATGAAATTTTTTTATCAAAGTTGAATGGGTTTATTAAAATAAATTGATTCACAGAGGCAATGACTAGTCTATAGAAAAACCATATGGTTCCTACCTAAGTTTCACCATGTAGGTTCAAGACAAAACTAAGTTCATCGGACCGGTTCAACTAGAAACTTTTTGACTAAAATCAATTTAAACTTCGAGTAAAGCTAGTTGATGCTCAACAAACCTAATGATGTTTAATTATGAAAGATGCAACATCTAGTTATAATAGAAGACTCTTCACGATTTTTTTTATGAGTGAATGTGAGACTTCTACCAGTCACCAAATATGCTATAATTTGAATTTCTATCATCGTACCTTTTTTTCCTTCCTTTATTTTGCCAAATACTATAAGATTGGTCCTTTAATTTTTTTAAGATGGGTTCTAAATTTTTTGGTATGTAATTTCTAATAAACTTTATAAATTTAAGGCATCCATAATGCATTGAACTTCATAGAGTTCAATAGATTGACATATCATATTTTTACAATCCATATAACTCTATCATTTTTTCCTACAATGCATTGAACCCTATAAAGTTCAATAGAATATTACGAAAAATAATTAATATTATATATTTAAGAATTAAAAACTTTTCTTTTTTCCATTGAACAGTTTAATGGCCATTGAACTCCAAATCCATCGAATGCCAAAGTGACATCTCATAATGGTAGAGTTTCATCCATTGAATGAAACCTAGATTAGTCACCTCATTCAACCTTCCCATTAAACTCACCATTGTGGATGCTCTTAGATGGATCATAGAAGTCACCTTCGGCAAACATAGACTCGCCATTACACAGTTGTGTAAATTAACCAAAATATTAATTGTTTATATGCAATTTGTTTTGATTTACAATATTTCCTATCTTAACCACTTTGACCTCCACGAAACGTTTTTGAGCTTTAACTCTTTGGATCAATAGTTGTGAATTGAGATGTAAGTCTCTTTTAAAATGCAAATTGTCTATCCTATCACTTTATATTTTAGTATATGTTTAACATTTAATATAATAATAAGTGTCTTTAAAAGTTTTCTTTCGTTTATTAATAATAATAAGTGGTTTTAAAACTAATGAACCATAACTATAAATAATAAAATCAAATTATAAAAATCATGGATATGTCATATTATTATGCAAGTCTCTTTTGAAATGCAAATTGTCTATCTTATCAGTTTTATTATTTAGTGTATGTTTCACATTTTAATAGTAATATTAAGTGTTTCTTAAAAGTCTTTTTTAAATTATTAATAATAATAAGTGGTTTAAAACCAAAGAATAATAATTTTAAATGATAATAACATCAATTTATAAATTACATAACATTAACAACAAATAAATTGTATTTTAAATGAACATCATTATTGAAATTAGAAAATAATCGCATAAGTAAAAATTTTAATTAATCAATCATAACAATTATTAAAAAAAATATTAAATAGATAATTATATTTAATTTTATTAATGAGGAAGATGGGTTGATGTCAATGAATAATATTGTTCAAAATATTATGTCAAAGTTAATGTCAATAACATAACTATTTTAAACATATATTTTTCAACATTTTAACAATATATTTTTAACCTAGGCTGCGCAACACGTGAGAATTCGTCTAGTTATATATATATAGATATATATATATATAGATATATATATATATAAATATATATATATATATAAGGAGTGGTTCAAATGAGAATCACAAAAGATTAAGAACCGTAAGAACCTCATTTTATAAGTAATATATGTACACAATATTTATTAAACATGTTAAAATCCTAATTTTTTTGTCCTTTTGGTACGAAATGGGGAAAATTGTAATTTTTATAGTCTAATATTTTCGTTCATACATTGATTCTTATTTTAACACAAAAATTATATAAAATACAAAATTTAATACAGTCCATTTATAGTTTAATACATTAAATTCACAATTTAAATACAATCATAATATCACTAATTCACTAATTTAGGGGAGTCAAACTCAAACTCTAACACAACCACCAAGTACCACACGTTAGCACCAACCATCTATGTCAACGTCGCAACAATCATTCCTTTCAAACCAAATATGTATATAAAATCATGCATTGTCAGCTTAAATACTATATTCACAGTTTAATAAACCTATTAATTCACTAATTTAGAGTTTAATTGAACAATTGTAAAAACCAATACATTCTTACATATTCACTCCACAAAAAAATACTCACAAGAAAATTAATACAAATATTCATATTTTAACATAAAATTCATAAAAAAAATCACAACTTAATACAATAAATTCACAGCTTAATACAGTCAATTTATAATTTATTACACAAAATTAACAGCTTAATATATCAGATTCACAGTTTAATACACAAAAAGTATACATTCACATGCATATTCTTTACTTAAAACTTACATTTATACCTTCAGATATGTGGGCTAGTGTTTCTTTCAAATTTTAATTTACATAATATTCACAATTTTTTATATATTGTATTCAAAAATAGAGAAAATAAAATCTACGTATAATGCTTTTTTCATCTCATATTTCAGAAGTAAACATAAAATTCGTAAAAAAAAAATTAAAGCTTAATATACTTAATTCACAGCTTAATACATTTAATTCACAATTTAATACACAAATTCACAGTGATAAAAATAGACAAATCAAACATTCCCAACATCTTCATTTCTTATCTCGTTTAAGGACTAAGAAACCGAAGGTTTTCACGATACTTACACCAGAAAACTCACTACAAAAAACCCTAATCTACTCTCAAGATTATCACTCACCCTAAACTATATCTATCCTACAACACATCTAACAGATGTATATACAAAGTAGAACAGAAATGTTGATTACAATAGATGAAAGAACGAGAGAGATATAGAAACAAAACCCAAACCAATTTTGATCTAAACGACTGAATGAATGATCTTGACAGTCTCTCTCTAACTTTATATCACAACTCACAAGAAATGAACCGGATCTGGGATTTACTTCATCCACAAAAGATCTGCGTGTTTTTATCTGCAAATTCCTTTTACAACCTTACACAATTCTATTTATCATAAGAAACCCTATGTTTTATTATTAAGAAAAATAATAAATATATGATTGTATTTAAAATATTTATTATTTTTAACATCCCCCCTCAATCAAAATATTTATTATTTTTCTTTACTAAAAACATCTATAAGACCCATTTTGTTTAACAAAAAATTGTGTTGTTTAATACTCAATGACTTAGTAAGAATATCAGCATTTTCATCAGAAGAATTTATTTTTATTAATTTTAGTATTCCATTTGAAAATTTTTCTCTAACAAAGTGAAGATCAATTTCAAAATGTTTTGTCATTTCATGAAAAGCAAGATTAAGTGCTAACTTAATTGTTGAGTCATTATCACAAAAAACTGATACATGAATAATATCTTTAACATCCAATTCAAATAAAATCTTTAAAATCCAAATTATTTCACAAGTGATAGAACCAAGAGCTCTATATTCAGATTCAGTAGATGACCTTGATACAGTAGACTGTTTCTTACTTTTCCACGAAACTAAAGAATTATTAAAATATGTCATATAACCTGTTATAGATTTTCTAGTAGTTAAGCACTTAGCCCAATATGCATCAACAAACCCGTTTAATTCAAAGCCATCAGATTTAGTCAAAGCAATACCCTTTCCAGGACTATTTTTCAAATACCTTAACAATCTAAAAGCAACTTTTAAATGAGATTTTCTTGGTTTGTGCATAAATTGGCTAAGAACTTGAACAACATAAGAAATATCAGGTCTTGTAACAGTAAGATATATCAATTTTCCAATAAGCTTTTGAAATTTTGTTTTATTATCCAATAATTCATCCCTTTTATCAAAATCCCCTGAACTTATTACAAAATTAGTTTCAAGAGGTGTATTTACAGGTTTGCACCCAAGCATTCCATATTCATGCAAAAGCTCAAGACAATACTTTCTTTGATTTAAACATAAACCATTCTCAATATTTACAACTTCTATCCCAAGAAAGTATTTAAGAATACCTAAATCCTTAATCAAAAATTGACTTTTCATAAAATCTTTGACCCTTTTGAGTTCTGATTCATGACTTCCAGTTAAGATAATATCATCAACATATACTAATAAAACAGTAATTGAACTTTCAAACTTCCTAACAAATAAAGAATAATCACTAACACTTTGTTGAAAACCAAACATAAACAAAGCAGCACAGAGTTTCTCATTCCATTTTCTAGGGGCTTGTTTAAGACCATATAAGGACTTAGTCAATTTGCAAACCCTAGAATCATTTTCAGAATAATAACCAGGTGGTAAACACATATAAACATCTTCTGAAAGGTCACTATAGAGAAATGCATTATTTATATCCAATTGAGATAATGGCCGGGAATTATTAACAGACAATGAAATAATAATCCGAACAGTTACAATTTTTGCAACTGGAGAAAAAGT